TGAAATCGTGAGTATTATAGAATTCAACCTTCAGATAGTCATTATTTAGAGAATTAAACCTTCAGATAGTCATATTTATAGAATTCAACCTTCAGATGTCTTAAATTTTTGATCATTATATATAAAAAAAGAAAGTTCATCTGTTCTTTAGGTTAAAGGATTTTTCGCCTTTTTTCCCTCCCAATTTCTTTACATTATCGATCCTAGACAATGTTTTCTGGTTATCACTGTACGTGAAGGTTATCTTTCACTGACCAATCACTCCATTTTCTCCATTACATTGTTATGTATTAATCAATCTTTATTCAGGTGTAAAGAAGGATTTGCTGGTCAAAGATGTCAATTTAAGAAAGCAAGGGTTAATCCCTTCGGAGACAGTAAGTCATTTCACTAATAAAACATTTTGATGAGTTGTAAGACCGTTATGTTTTTTCTTCGACAGCGATACCCAGAAGACGACTTTTAGGCTCAAATTATGACTTCAAATAGTCGAATAAGCATGGGACAAAGCAATTGTGCAATGTAAACAGACCCAATTTCACTTAATATGTGTCTCTATTACAACTATTTGCTTCAGTATTACTATAAAGTCGTCTTCGTAATTCAGAGTTTTCTGTAAGTAGTAAACTAGCTGTATGTAGTTTTCTCGCCGCGTAGGGTTTTTTGGGGTTTCCAATTTTAATAACTAAATTGGGTAAATATATGATTTTCATGAAAAATAAAATGAATTTGGGGTTTAGGCATAAAAAAATTTTATTTTTCGCGCCCCCCTTCTACGATAACACACAACAATTTACTTTAAAATTCGGTGATGGTGATGGACCAAACCTCTGTAGAGTAAAAATGTAGATGTTCCACATTTATTTTGAAAATATATTTCGGTCTGGATTGACCCTCATCAGTTCTAACGATATAATAACCATTAAAATCGATAAAAAAATTTTTAAATTGTTAAAAACCACAAGAAAATAAACAAACAAAAAAATTTAAGATGAGGGGGGGGTAAAAATATATACAGCTGTCCTCTTCTGTAGACTTTGCAATTGCAACATCTCTTTTAAACGTGAGTAATTAGTTAATAAAAATAAAAAAATGATTTTCAGCTAAATTCACGGTCAAGATTATTAACATCCAATTAAACCTATTTTCAAAAAAACCCATCTTGTACTTTTTCATGTTTCTAAATGCTTCTCTCTACATGTAAATATTTAAAACTAAATTTAAGCAAACTTCAATTTTTAAGGACTTTTGCCCAATTATTCGATTATTTAACTTTTATTCAGGTGACTTAAATACAAGGTTGTAGATCATCTAAAACTAAAACTGAGAAGGAATATTAAACTATATTTTTGGTATATATTTTAACAATGGTATATATGTGAATAATGAACATTTTCTCGCTCAAGATTGGTTTAACTCATGAAGAACGTATTAAACTTGCATGGCTTCAGGTTGTCTATAGTCTTCCAAAATCTGTCCTGCGTCAATATTCCAATCCTCGACATCAATAGCCCAGGGGTGGGAGACACGTCCGTAATAAATATCCGACATGGAGATCATTATTCTTGACGCTAAACCTTGCTCCGGAGTTGGGAGTTTATGCATGGAACCATTGTAATGAAGTCCTCCGACAGGACTCACAACAGCAGCAGTTCCAGAACCAAACATTTCAATGAGTCTTCCATCCTCTAGAGCTTCCATTACCTCTCCCATAGTTATCTTACGCTCAGATACCTTGATCCCGTCCCACTCAGAGCACATTTCCAGGATAGAACGTCGAGTAACTCCGGGTAGAATTATACCAGAGCTTATCGGTGACGTGATTAACTCATTCTCTCCGTTCTTGTTTTTCAAAAATATAAACAGATTCATTGCTCCAACTTCAGTTATTTCATGGTCTTTACCAAACAACCAGAGACACTGATGACAGCCTTTACTTTCAGCTATCTTTTGGGTCCAGAGAGTCGGAGCATAGTTAGAACCCATCTTGGTAAATCCACAACCTCCCGGCCAGGCTCGCACATAACTAGGATCGCAAAGAAGGTTTACAGGTTTAAATCCAGTAGAATAATACGGGCCTACGGGACATAGGATCACAAACAGTTTGGCCTCATTTGATGGAGCAACTCCGAGGGTTGGTTCGGTTCCAATCATGGTGGGACGAATGTATAAAGAGGAAGAGCTATCATGAGGAACCCACTCACTGTCCCGTAGTACAAGCTCCCGGATACAGTTCAGCACCTCCAGACCGTTAAAGGCTGGAAGACACGACCTTGAGGCTGTTAGATTCATCCTGGCCATATTGTGCATAGGACGGAACAACCTTATCTTGCCGTCTACTCCACGGTACGCCTTCATACCTTCAAACAGTTCCTGGGCGTAGTGGAGAACTTTAGCACCGGGATGCATGGAGAAGGGTTTAAACGCTTCTATTTTGGGATCATGCCAACCCTGGCGATCGTCCCAGTCGATGCTGAGCATATGATCTGTAAAAATTTTACCAAATGCAAGGTCTGAGACTGGGGGTTTCGGTTTCATCTCATGCAGGGACGCATTCTCCACCCGGAGTTTTCTGCTGTCTGGTCCTTGAACTCCGGAGATAAATCGTGTCTGTAACCTTGAGTTAGTTTGAGATAAAAGTCCCCGCATACCCTTCACTATCCTGGCATGCTGCTGCATGATGCAGGACGGAGAGTGAACCATGTTTCAGAGATTTTATTCCTCGGGAATTTATAGTATTTTAGATTTCTCTAAGTTCTAGGGTTTCCTGTCCAGGTTTGATCTATACTGCAGGCATATTAAAAGAATTCTGCTCGACTAAGCAGTCTCGAGGTTTCTAGGCTTTACTGCTTTCTCCTAGAACGTATATAGAGCTGGGCCTACTTCTCAAAGGATTTGGGTGAAGTATCTACGCAGTAGAGGCTCTCAATTCAACCCTGAGATAAAATTGGTTTTCATTTCTGTACACAATTATCTACAAAATGCGTATTTTAACTCAAAATAATTTCCCGCATTTTCAAAATATTTGAATTATATTAAAATCATGGTCGTTGGACACGAAAAACAATTATTTAAACATTGAAAAATTATTTTTATCTTATGTTTAATAACGGGTTTAAAAAATACCTGAGGATCGCTGGAGGGTGTGCGTAGTGTATCACTGCTCTTTACAAACTGAAGTTTAGCGCAGACGCAGTTCGCGCAGTCCTGCGTTTGGTGTTGATGAGGTCGAAATACGCTGACCGTTGGAAATAAAGCCCCCGATGAGTAGCTTGGGGGNAGATCAGAGGTTTCCCAGCCGGTGTAAATCTGAAGAGTGTGTGGATAAGTACTTGTCTGTCTGGAAACTGGGGGCTTGGCTGTGAGTGAGAACTAGACAAGACAACCTGCTCTCTCTCTCTCAACAGTTCTATATCTATCTATCCGCCTGTGTAATCTCTCTTTTTAACCTCCCTCGAGTAAAGGAAATATATATTTATAGAGAGTTTTTGAACCCTACTTTTCTAAAATCTATAAACCCGGGGGGTCATATTTAAAAAAGATTTTTTTTTGTTCATTTTCGAAGATCAAATTGATCCACATAATCCAAACTGCGCACAAGAAAGTCAACGTACTTTTTCAACCCATGGACTAAAATCTCAATCCTGTAAAGTCGCTAACAAGCTATGTAGAAGCACATGTTACAATGATGATGTTTTCAATTCATATCTAACAAGCTATTCTAGATTTATCCCACTTTATCTAACAATTGCTATTCTAGATTTATCCTGCTTTATCTAACAAGCTATTATAGATTTATCCTGCTTTATATAACAAGCTATTCTAGATTTATTCCGCTTTATATATGATTTATCTGAATTCATTCAAATATATTTTAACTGACTAGATAGCTCTTACATCTTAGATTAACATTTATTTATTTTATATTATATTATATTTTATATACATTTATTAAATCTTTATCTTTGTTTATCATGATTTGTTTAAATTTATCTAGATTTTTAAATTGTATCTAGATTTTTCTAGATATACGTAGATTTATCTAGCTTTATTTAGTTTTATCTAGATTTATCTAGTATTATTTATATTGATCCATATTTGTTCAGATTTATTTTAGATCTGGGTTTATCTAGATTTATCTAGATTTTTCTAACTTTATCTAGATTTGTCTAGATTTATCTAGATTTATCTAGTTTTATTTAGGTTAACTAGATTTAACTGGATTTATAAAGATTCAAGTGGGTTTATCTTGAGTTATAAAAGGTTATAATAGAGAGGTTTCTTCAGTTTTATATAGATATCTTGTATTTTCAAGATCGTCAAGTTAGCTTATACATATTTCAGAAATCCTACATTCTCAAGATCTCTTGAATCTTTTAAAGCTTCTAAATCTTCCTGATCTCCTATTCCCCTTCTGTATAGTTTATAAACAGTATACAATAAGCAGCTAAGGAGAAAAATCTAGAATAAACTGGATTTAGCTACATCTATTATCCATACATATGTATACAGCAGGTACTATGAGCTAGACAGATGATTTCTAGGTTAGAGAAATGTAAAGACAAATGATTATATGATGTGTTTATTTTACGTTGTATTAAAAAAAACATTTGGAACACGATGCAAAAAAAATATCACTTAATTGTGAAAAATTTAATGAATACATTTTTTGAACAAATGAAAGAAATTGTATTGAATATTATATAGGTACAGAAAGTACAGTATTGAATATATCTAGGTACAGTATGTACACAGTATTGAATATATCTAGGTACAGTATGTACACAGTATTGAATATATCTAGGTACAGTATGTACACAGTATTGAATATATGTAGGTACAGTATGTACACAGTATTGAATATATCTAGGTACCGTATGTACACAGTATTGAATATATCTAGGTACAGCATGTACATTGTACAGTATTGAATATATCTATGTAAAGAATGTACAGTATTGAATATATCTAGGTACAGCATGTACATTATTGAATATATCTATGTACATAATGTACAGTATTGAATATATCTAGGTACAGCATGTACAGTATTGAATATATCTAGGTACATCATGTACAGTATTGAATATATCTAGGTACAGTATGTACACAGTATTGAATATATCTAGGTACAGTATGTACACAGTATTGAATATATCTAGGTACAGTATGTACAGTATTGAATATATCTAGGTACAGCATGTACCTTATTAAATATATCTATGTACAGAATGTACAGTATTGAATATATCTAGGTAAAGCATGTACCTTATTAAATATATCTATGTACAGAATGTACAGTATTGAATATATCTAGGTACAGCATGTGGACCGTACGGGCATGATATACAGCTGGCTGAGATCTGTGCAGCCTGGAATTCTCCTCCTGTAAAGGAAATGACAAGGGAGGAGTACATGGTAAACCTTTTTATCTTATAATGCCAATTTTTAAAATTATACCAAAAGAATGTAATAGTTGAAATTCGCTTGACTTCATTTTATCAACACATTTATCAAAAATCGTTGAAGATAAATTGCAGAAACCCCCCATATTTTTACCAAAAAACAGAAAAGTGTTCTGTAGCTTCTGAGAAAAAAATAAAAAAGTGTAACTTAATATTTTTATAATAAGTCAAACTTGCATTATAATTATGTTTAATGCAAACAATTTTCTTAGAATGTTTACAAAATTGCACATCATACAGATTACATATTTCGTACTGCAGGCTGCAGCTATTGTTAAATTAGTACTGCCGGTTTAAGGGAGTGTTCGCACTTCGCAAAATATGAAAGGAGGGGATGAATGAGATCGAATCAATTTCAACCTTTTTTAAAAAGATACTGAACTTATAATTAAACCAATATGAAGAGTGTCCACTATAATTGAGACTTTAGAAAAAATGTTCTAACTCGCTCAATTTCAAATCTACGCCGTTAAACACATATCAATAACGATATTTAGATTATATTTAATTCCGTTCAAATTCCTGAGAAACATTATTATCAGTTGCTTTTAGAAGCTTAGTTTTCAATACTCTCAACAGTCTTCGGCAGAAAATTCCAAGTTTAGAAATGGCAAGCAATATCAATTAAAAAGCCTCTCTGAATGATTAGATTTTGACTTAGAACAAATTTCATGAGAAACATTAGCTCTAAAGACAGTCTCTGGGCATGTATAATAATATTTTTTCCACTAATGCCCTTAACATTCAGGGAAAAATAGCAATCACAATTCATAATTATTTGCGGATGAATCGAAATCGGAGAAAAAAAGTCTGTGAGGAAAGCCCTTGTTCCAGATTTCGCTCTGTTCGCTTTGGTAACCGCCAAAAAAGTTTTCAGAAATAAATTTTGGCACCAAAAAAGTCCTGTGGAAAAAAGTCCTTGAAATAAAAGTCCTTTGGAAATAAAGTCCTACTATTTTGAGAATTTTTCGCTAGGACTTTTTTTCTGGTTCCAGTATGATTTCATACAAAAATGTTCCGGGAAAAAAGTCCTATTTTGGTAGAAATACAGGGGAACAAAGGATGTCTACAACCATGCAAAAAAATTGATATTAAAAACACACTTGGATATATTCAATATGCAGATGCTTAGAAAAAAAGTCCTTTTTATAAAGACGTCTCTGACTTAACCTCATTTTCACAAAACTTAGGATTTTTTTCCTCAGGACTTTAATTCCTGTGGAACTTGTACTCTGGGAAAACTCCAAGTAAAGCTGGGTTTCTAAGCTCGTATTGTATAATTTAATATATTTTAGGCCTGGGTAGAGGTGGAGAAACAACTTCAAAACTTTAAAAAGAACAACACAGCAACAACAACATTATTCCCGGATGAAATATAAACACTGCAGTATATGATCATTTTTTACTCCAGCTGCAGTACACAATTCATGATGTCAATATTTACATGGACTAAACTATACTACCATGAGAAACAATCATTAAACCAAGCTCTTGCTGCCTAGAAGTATACTTGGTGTACTAATCAAACCTGTCTACTGCTGTAATGCATACCTGGAGGAAAACAAAACAATCCCAGACCTTCATAATACCTATGATCTTACTCATCCCACCAAACATGTATTTTATCTTTAGATAAAAGTGAACCCTTCAAATCTAACATTTGGGGGAAGGTTTGAAATGTCAGTTGTTTCTAATCATTTGAAGTACGGAATGAAACTTTGTTAAGTTTTAATGAAAGTTGAATTTAAACCAGAGATATTTAACAGTACCCTTCTTGTTCTGAGGGCAAAACTTTTGAATTGGATGGCACTTAAAGCTTTAGCATTGGTTCAAATCGAGGATTTAACCTAGTATGGAAAGTGGGTTATCTCTAACATGAGTGAGGGAGTTTAACCTCTGGCAACGATAAAGAGCTGTCTACTATCCAACAACTCCTGAACGGTCATTGATGACAGGAACCGCCTGAGTATTGCAAGTTTAAAATACAAAAATTTGGTCCTCTGATCCTTCAAGTGACTTAAATACAAAAGTTTTGTCATTTGATCCTTCAAGAGACTTAATAACAAAAGTTTTGTCCTCTGATCCTCCTGAGTCTGAACTTTGAGCCGCGTCTCAAATTCGCCAAAAACCGGTTTCAATTAAGCGCCAGCTTAAATCTTGAAGCATTGAAAACGAATTTAAGAAGAACCAACCATATTTGAGCCGCGTCTTAAATTTCAGCCGCGGCTCAAATTCTTTAAATTCTGCCTCTGGTGACAATTAAATACAAAAAATAATTGCTTTTGTCTCCAATCTTGTGTTATTAAATTCAGAATGATGTAAACAATTTGGCTCCTTGTATACTACACCTCGCACAACAAGTGATTAATTACCAAAACAAGAATCTGCTGTATATGTAAAATAGTAAAACTACTTTATGAATAGCTTTACCCCATCTCGTGTCAATATAAGAAAACAAATCTCATCTAATAGTAAAAATAAAGTAAAAAAGTTGCTAAATAATAAGATTTTTGTCTTTAATATCAAGATTAACCCTATCTCCGCTGGGGTACTTGAAAACCAGGATACGCTGGGGGGGGGTCAATTTGACCCCCCCCTCTAAATCCCATGTTTTATGTCCAAATATGACAAATGATACATCATTAGATAGCTCTTGTGCTCTACTTTTAGAATCTACAAAAAAATTTGCAAATTTGCGAAAATTGAATTTTTTATCGCAAAATCCAGTTTTATAGTAAAAATTTGTCCAAAAAATGACAAATTATACATTTTTGAAAAGCCCTTGACCATGACATTTTAAATATGCAAAAATTTTTGCAAAATTTTAAATAACCTGATTTTTAATCAAGAAAAACTAAAAATGTGCATATTTCCTTTGACAGGTTGTTTGCAAAAAATTTGCAATTTTTTTTTCGCAAAACTTGTGCAATCCGTTTCCTTATGTCATAGGCTTTCCAAAAAGCTAAATTTTATCAAAATCTGACAAGTAAAAGTGGGTCAAAACAAAGATTTAGTTTGCTACAGGCAAAAGCAGTCATTCAGGCAGTGTGCCTGAGGACTCAGGCAGTTAGTATTAAAGCCCGGTTTTAGGCCTAAAGGGAGGGCTTTGGGTATGTAAGAAAAGTCAGAAAATTTCAACAGCCTCAGACCAATACTTTTTGAGTTATGTAAAAAAAACTACAGGGGGGGGGGGCAAATTGACCCCCCCCCCAGCGGGAATAGGGTTAACATTTGAACGATATTTCAAAAGTTTTCCCTACTGCTAAATTAGTACATAGATAATACATTGTAGTAAGCAGGATTTTTTAAATATTCAATGTTTTTTTGCTTTTGAGGAGCTCCACACACACAAATTTATGAAGTCCAAAGTAATTCAAAATTTTATTTCAGTTCGCTAAGATGAAACTATTGTTAAATTCATACATATTGTAATAAAATCAAACTTGTAAAGAATGTAAATTCTTAAGTTTGAACAATAGTTTTGAACGAGTAAAATCAATCGTTCGATAACGAACGATTTTAATAATCGTTCAGGTTTACATTTTCTGCCAGACTCCCAAGATCTTCATATTGCGCCCAGGAGACATCTATAGTTCCAAAACTAACACTTAGTGTTAGAAATGGGCCAAGTATTAGTTCTGGAACTAATGTCCCAGCTGTATTGCAAGAAAAATAGATTTGCAGTAAATACAATTTTGGAAAGTTGAACTTCTTATTTTTTTTGGAGTTTCTGAGATCCGATTTAATGAATTGCAAAAAAAGGTTGAATCGCGTAGATGTGCTTCAACCACTTCTTTACAGCTTGAACCGGCCCACAAGAGAAGTGTTTGAACTACATCTCAACGGTTCAGCTATTTCGCTATTAATTAAATCTGGTCCTTCAATTAATAAAATCTGATAGAACTCTGCCTAACTAATGTATGTTTCTCTAGTTTTCACTAAATTTTTCTAGAATTTACAAAACTACATTTTCTAAACTTTACAATATACAATACGTGGTGTACAATGTACATAAAAACTTAATTGAATTGTACATAGATATTTTTCGTCATTTTGATTCATAAAACTATAAAGATTTGACAGCAATGTTACAAATTACACAATGGAACCTTTGTGCTTTGTTTACCAAAAAACGTAGGGCAGCTTTTAGGAGGGATTTGAACAAATTTCTTCCGAAAAGTGCAGTACACTTTTATGTAAACAAAGTTATAAATGCTTATTTTGGTATATCATTTATGGAATTAGCAATCTTTCACGGTAGTTTTACTGCTTAGAAACTATTTGATGTTTTTTTGTTTTCTGACATTTTAAAATCATTGGTTTTCTACTGGAAAATTGTACAATTTTTTTGTACAATCTTTTTTGTGCATGTACAGCATAGACTGTACTGCTCAGTAGGTAGTGTGCACGGGCGTATACTGCTATGACATAGTTTCGTTTTTTTGAGTAATTTTCAAAACTAATATTTAAAAGAAGTTTCACATCGGGGTTCAAACTTCAAATACATCTAAAATTCTTAACCAAAATTTCAAAATGTTCAGGCTTTCTTTTTTATTAAGTACAATGAGGCTAGTGATGGGCAATATTTTGGTTCAATTTTTTTTTAATTTAAAGGTTTTTGGATTTTGAAAAGGTTTCACAAAATTTGAGAAATTTTATAAATTTCTGAATTGTTTATTCTTACCTTACTGCACTATGCATATTTTGACCCCGAGAAAAGATATATACAATAAATCGAACCAAAAACGATCGTTTCAAAGCAATCGATTTTTAGTGGACTTTTCCCTTGTATTTTCTCTTAAGATAAATATTTTCATAGTGTAAAAAAGACAAACTTTTACCGAATATAGTTTTAAAATTTTGAAACCTTCACAAGTTCACAGTAATTTGTTGGGGCCTAAAAAGTCAAAAACCTTAAAAGTTGTGCAAAAACGAACCAAATTATAACAAATCACATTAATGAAGCATGTCTTTACAAACATTGCTGTTGTTAAAAAACCCGGTTATTTCTTTTTGTTATTTTTAGATTATGTAAACTGTACAGTGTACAGTTGGTGTACAGGAAGTACAGGGTTTCAACAAATGATATACAGGAGTGGTAAACTAACCCTAGTTATCAATCCTGTTATAGTAAAATATATTTTAACTAGTCTTTACATCTATAAAAATGTTGATCTGCAGCAAGAAAACACGTCATCCTTGAAAGATATTTGAAAGAGAAAAATTACTCGTAAGAAAAATGTAAAGTTAAGAAAAAAATTTCTAAATTATTTGAGTTAAAAACTTTTAAAAAATAATTCAATTAAAAAATATATTGAATAAATTTAAAGCCTAAAAATCACTTGAAGCTTGCATAATCATCCTGTATTTCAAACTAAATTGTCTAATTGTTAATTAATATCTTTAATCGATTAAAAACTAAAATATTTATGATGATTAGTTAAATAAATAGAAAAGAAAATGAAAATATTTTGCCTGAGGAAAATGGTAAATAACAAAAACCGGAAGTCGGAATGAATAAATAGCGACAATTATATCAGTTACTTCTCATAAAATTCTACCTCTGATGAAAGAGTTCTCGGGTAATTTTTTTACTGTTTGCTCATAGACCATTTTTTGGGACACCCGATATACATCTATATATAAATTTGGCTTGTTTGTCTGTCTGTTTGTTTGCCTGTTTGTTTGTTTGTATCCAATAAACGTCAAAATGGCTGAACCGATCGGGCCCAAATTTTTTGTGGGACATCTAGGGAGCCCAGGGAAGGTTTATGAATCATCAAAATTTCAAATATTTGTCTCTATCAAAATTCGATCGTCATTAAATTTTTTAAAATTTTGAAAATCCGCGAAATTTTTTGTAAAAATCCACGAATTATTTTTGTTTAGTTTTACGATGTACACAAAGAGAACATGTTTACAATTAATTTAGAAGATGGGCGCGAAGCGCCCTCTAAGGCTAGAAAGAAGGGCGCGAAGCGCCTTGAATTTCTAGTAAATAAAACTTCTCAACGCGATATCCTGTTTTTCAGACAAGATGTAGAACGTGCTCAATCTCAGTTCTATATTACAGGGAACTTTATTTAGAGTTTAAAAGATTAATCTTGACCTAAACTCGCTCTGCTCATGTGGAACAGACAAACACGTGATTGATTTTTTTTTCTTTTCTAGAAAAAAATGTATCTAAAAAAATATTTCTTTGCTGGAACATCTGTAAAAACCATGGTTCAGGTATTATACTCCAACGTTTAAGTGAGAAACTCCTTAGTTTAGATGATTAATCAGAGGTTTAGATGCTAAATCCGTGGTTACGTCATAAATTCCAAGGCTTTGCTGAATAACTCCATGGTTTAAATGTTTTACACCATGGTTTAGATGAATAACTCCATGCTTTAGATGATGTACCCTCGGTTAAGATAATAAATAAAAAAATTAGATGATAAACTCCATGGCTCAGGTGGTAAATTATCGGACCTCTTTCAACTACTTCTGAACCCTCCAAGGCAAAATCCAATCGGCCGGCCCCCGTAAACTCCATGCTTTGAATTATGAAATCTGAGGTTTAGATGATAAACTCCATGGTTAACACCATGATTTTGATTATAAGCAGCTGTAAGGTTTAGATTATAATCTCCATGTTTTTAATGATGGTTCAGACTCTTCAGAGGATGAACTCTAATAAAAACAATAGTTCAGGTGATATCCATTCCATCTTTGGGATTTCTTGGTAAGTATGTTTTGAATAAGATGTTCCCTAAACTCGGCTAGAAGTATTTTATCACCAAAACCATGGAGTTTATCACTTAAACCATGGAGGTTATCACCTGAAACAATTGAGTTTTATCACCTGAACTATGGAGTTCATCATCTGAACCATGAAATTTATCACCTATGGAGGTTAACACCTGAAACAATTGAGTTTATCACCTGAACCATGAAGGTTATCATCTGAACCATGGAGTTTATCATCTGAACCATGATATTGATCACATATGGAGGTTAACACCTGAAACAATTGAGTTTATCATCTCAACCATGGAGGTTATCATCTGAAACATGAAATTTATCACCTATGGAGGTTAACACCTGAAACAATTGAGTTTATCACCTGAACCATGAAGGTTATCACCTGAACCATGGAGTTTATCATCTGAACCATGATATTGATCACATATGGAGGTTAACACCTGAAACAATTGAGTTTATCATCTGAACCATGGAGGTTATCATCTGAACCATGATATTTACCAGCTTAACCATGGAGGTTATCATCTAAACCATGAAGGTTATCACCTGAACCATGGAGTTTATCATCTGAACCGTTCACCTATGGAGGTTAACACCCAAACAATTGAGTTTATCATCTGAACCATGAAGGTTATCACCTGAACCATGAAGGTTATCACCTGAACCATGGAGTTTTTCATCCGAACCATGAAATTGATCACCTATGGAGGTTAACATCTGAACCATGATATTTACCAGCTGAACCATGGAGGTTATCACCTGAACTATGAAGTTTATCACCTGAACCATGAAGGTTATCATCTGAACCATTGAGTTCATCACCTGAACCATGAAATGTATCACCTGAACCATGAAATTTATCACCTGAACCATGAAGGTTATCATCTAAACCATTGAGTTTATCACCTGAACCATGGAGTTTATGATCTAAACCATGAAATTTATCACCTATGGAGGTTAACGCCTGAAAAAATTGAGTTTATCATCTGAACCATGGAGGTTATCAACTGAACATGGAGTTTATCATCTGAACCATGAAATTTATCACCTATGGAGGTTAACACCTGAAACAATTGAGTTTATCATCTGAACCATGGAGGTTATCATCTGAACCATGAAATTTATCATCTGAACCATGGAGGTTATCATCTGAACCATGAAATTTATCACCTAAACCATGAAGGTTATCACCTGAAATCTGAAACCATAGATTTAATCACCTAAACAATTGAGTTTTTCATCTAACCCATGGAGTTAATATACAAACCTTGGAGTTAATCACCTGCATCATTCACACTTTTAAATTTTTCTCACTTCTGATCAATAGTATTTGATTAAAAAAAATTTCAGACCTATTGACTTTTGTTAATTTGGTTCTCAATATAAAAACTAAGGATATCATTATCATTCTTCTCAAATAATTGAACAGTTCCCATTGAATGTTCGATTAAAGAAGATGCATTTTTTAAGTCGTCTTTTAGAATTTGAAGCCTTATTAATTTTTCCTCTCTTAAGTATCTAAATTTGTTTTTCAAACCAAAACAAAGAATTGAATTTTAGATTTTCAGATTTATCTTTAATATTTCTAGACAAAATACTTTTAAAAATATTTGATATAAGATCTACATCATGCAAAATTGTACATTTTTTTGTGCAACTCTCCTGTATGGTGTTTTTTTTTAATATTTTTTGAAAAATTTTAATTTTGTTGATATTCCAATTGCTCAAAAAAATTCTGCGAACCTTTTTTCTCTCAAAATCAAAAGTTCAGAAAAGCAAAAATGTGTATATAAATTATTTCTATCAAAATCTAAAATTTTATAAAGATTGAATGACAGAATCACTGAAAATTCGCAATTTTCAGTTCTGGTTTATTTTTTAAGGAAAAGTTATTTTAATTCTCTAGTTCCTTTCTTCTTAATTTATTCTAAAGTTTTAAATATACGCTGTTCAGTTGAAACCGGAAGTTGAGCCATTGAAAAACAACTTTTCCTTAAAAATTAGGTTGGAACTGAAAATTGCAAATTTTCTAATTACAATTTTACGAATTTTCTTTAATTTTGTGATTCAATTTTTATAAAATTTTAGATTTCGATTGAAATAATTTACAATTTATAGCTTGTTGAAATCTGCTCTAAACTTTTAAGCTCTTCGTCAGCTATTTGTAGGAACATACTCAGCAAGATCTGCATGATGTCCCTGAATTATCTTTTTTTCAGTTTACCCTGTATGTGATAAATTTCTTGCCTAACACATGTTGTATTCTCAGGGTATATGTAGTATCTATAGATGGGGTAAATATTAACATGGCCGGAAGGATTAAATTCATTCAATAGGAAAAATGGAGAAAACATGTTTTTTGAAAATATGAATTGCAATGATAAATATGAATTGTCGTCACAATAAACAACTTAATATTTTAAATTCTTATCACAGGCTATAAGAAGAAACGAAAATTTGCACATTTTTGCGCAAAAATCGAACATGATTTCGCCGATTATCCTTTTAGAATGTCTAAGGATGTACAAGATAACAAGTTAGTAAGTAACTTATAGGATATGATAAGGCATTGCAACAGTTCAAAAGTAAACCAGGTGTCCCATGCATGGAAAGCCAACCCCTGTGTGTTTTAACCATTTCAACGCATTATTAGACATTAAAAGCAATTTCAAAACATTTTAAATTATAAGTTTACATAATTGAATACAATTTAAATCTAAAATGTATCATTTAAGGGGGAAAACGCAAAAAGTATTTTCCCGCAAATGTCGTCTTTCTTTCAAAGTTTTAAAACAATTACGAATGCAAATGCTCGATCTAAGCATTGCTTTTGATGTCCAAAATTGTTTTGAAATGATGTAAAATTTTCTTTTTATTTCGAGAAAGTAATATCAAGAAAAATATGCTGTATAAGAATAATTTGGATTGAATAAAAGCGTGTCTTATTCATTTTCTTTTGACACCCTAACTTTCAAAATTAACTTTTGGACAAAATTCTATTGATCACAACTCATTTTGAAAATGAGACACAATATGGGCACATTTTGGAAAGAAAGAGAAAAAGAACATGGACTTATGACTTAGTTAGTTCGCGTATTTTTAAAATCACGAAGCTTAAATACTTCATGGTTATTGGTCAAGGATTTAATGCAAGGAAAGTTATTTCAGAGGTGTCCGCATCTTTTGTACTGCAGTGTACTGTCACTGGGTGGTAATGTAAACACAAGACGGATGTTTAAGCCTGACATGGGATCCATCTTTCACATAAAAAATCGATGAAATATTCTGGTCATAGGAAACTATTATGTGAATTATCAAAATTATCAAAATTCAATGATTTTAACCTCCTTCGATACTAAACGGACACTGAGGCATCTATTCTTGTTTACAAATTCCGCCCAGAGAGAACTGGTCTCAATATGTACGTAGAGTATACGAACTGCAATTAACTTTCCTTGATTACATTCTTGGTTATTGGTTATCCACTTACAGGGTTACCCACAAAGGATAAGACTTCAGAGACGAAATTTGTTTGGCCCGTTTTCTTGCATTCAGGGTTCCTTGTAGGCCAAAACATTAGATTTGGCTAATAGAAAAAGCAGGGTGGGGAGATTTAGATGAAGAAAATTATGCCCAATTTATTAGTCCTACTACCAGGTATGCAAAGGTAGAAAAATAATCACACTTAGCGCTCTGCCAGAGCAGTTTAGATAGATACGTACGACCTATATTTAATATACCTTTGATAGTATGTTTAAGAATTTGGGCATGAGGAAAGCAAATTTAATCCTACTTTAAACGGGGGAAAAATCCCTTTTCAAATGGGGTCAAACTCATTTTATACCGCTCACACATGTATTAGTTTTATATTAGTACCAAAACTAACACTTGGCCCATTTCTAACAAAATCGTTAACTCTATCCTTACAAGTATATATATAAAGGAACAAACAGGATATTACACCATAAAGCTCGACTAACATCAAATATTGATAATATATCAGTGTAAAGAAATAAGAGATTATTAATACTACATATATTTCATCAACATTTCAAACAGCTCATAATCTGTGCATAAATAGGCATTCTCAGCTTGACATTAATCTGCTTCCTGCTCGGGGATAGGTCATAAGATGACCCACCCCGCCAGGAGTAAATATCCAATAAATAAGCGACAATAGATAAACATAAACGTACAACTGGTTTAATTGGAAGATATTTCACCACCAGGATTTCGACTCGGGAGGCTTTCAAAGGAGGTAAAATGCAATTTGTTAAAACTTCTGAGCCATGGCCGTTGTCGTGTGCTTGATTGAAAAAAAATCTACAATTGGCACAACTGATAAAATTGTGTATTGAGTCAAAAAAAAAGAGGAGATATCTTGGTAGTTATTTAAATATTCGTCAATCAGGCAAAATATAAAGTTTTGCTAGAATTACGAATTTAAATAAATATGATGATGCAAATTCATAAATAAATCAATGAAAGCTCATCAAAAATTTGTTTGGAAATCAACCAAAAATTGAAAAAATCCACCGAAAGTTGGCAGAAAATCCCCAAAACTTGGTAAAAGAAAGTACTGAACAGGATGAAAGATTAGTAGCCGGACATCTCAGCGAAGGTTTGATCCAATTCGTCGGAGATGGCTTTGAACTTCTCCTTTTCGTGAACCAGCTCATCTAAATAGAAAAATTAAACATAAAAAGAGGAATAAAAATCAGGATAATCTATAGGAAAATTGTTGTTAACTAATCAAATTAAAATAAAGCTCAAACAAATGAAAAATGTTAGGAAAGCATGCATTTAATAAAAAACCAAGAACAAATTTCCATAAAGCAGAATCCTTCTCCATAGATGATGAAATCTGAGATGAACTAATAGATCAATGAAAACATGAGAAACAATACGTAAAATACACAGGAAAATTCTTTGATAATCATTCACAATTACAGATGACCCTCAAGCTGTTGAGCCATATCCCATATTTAGATCCTGAAAATTTAGGATCACTTAAAAGTACAACTACATGGTCCCTTTAAAAGATTGTGTCAAGTAGAAGTCGTATTTGTTTTTAAAAATGGCGGAAGTATTTTATTATTGTTTCTGCATGATGTCTGCTGAATGTATTCACCGCTATAGTTCAGCTCATGTTTACATGTTCTGAATATCCTGGAAAGCAGCTTCCATCTCTTCCTCCATCTTCTTGTTCTTTTCCTTACTGTTCAACAGATCGTCTAAACACACCAACACGCTAAACTACACGCTAAGGCATCACGCAGTCAGACAATAATAAGGAGGATATGTCGTCTTTTATCCAAAACAAAATGGATGGTGCAGGCTGATTTCTCAGCTATGTGAAATTAAAGACGACATAAGTTTCCTTATAATTATCAAACTATACGTGCATAACAGTCTAATATGTTATGTTGATTGCCAATGAAGACTTTCTATACTCATGTCATGTTATGAACGTAGAAAGCCTGGGCGAAAAAAGGGTTGTAAAAATCAGAAAAAGGTAAAAAAATAAATAAGGGTAAAAACTAGGAAAACACTACAGAACTAAGATTAGGATGCAAAAATGAAAACAAAAATAAAAAGTTCACAATACATTTACATTTAGATTAACTAAACATTAATTTCTTTAAATTTACCCTTTAATCCTGTGAATTGTCTCTATAGAAGCGTGGAAAAATTATGAATAAAAATATGAAAATTTACTCATTACTCTTGAAAAACTTTTGTGTTAATTCAAATTAAAAAAAAACACTTTGTTAATATTTTTACCTTCTAGCCTATCAACCTCCTTCTGGAGTTTCTGGACGGACCTTTCAGCAAACTCTGCTCTGGCCTCAGCCTACATACAGTTCGGATCAAATATAGTCTTTTCTTCTCAAACACTGTATTCCCGAATTTATTTAGGATTCAAACAGAGTAAAATAATCGGGAATACAGTGTACAACTTTAAAAATTGTTCTAATTCTTAATGATGATAAAGGAGGCGGTATAAGGCTGGGTACCAAAAATGTGATCAACAATATTAAAAAGAAGATTATTAAAACTAAAATCCTCTAAAAGGTTAGCTGCTGATCTAAACAAACAAAAACAAAAAAATCACACGTTTTACCTCTTCTGCATCGCTTTCAGTCGGGTGAAAAAATGTTTGTTTAAAAAGTTTTTTTAATTATCCTTTGGAGGATGAAAATTACCTCCTTGCACTTGGCAGTAACTGATCTCAGCTGCTCTGAGAAGGATTCCTCCTTTTTAGAGGCCTAGCATACAATAACAAACTGATTAGTCGGTTAGTAAATTTTAATTGGCAAAAAACCTAAAAAAAACTAATTAATAAAAAGTCAGTTTAAAAAAAACACACTAATCTAGGTTTGACTTGTTAAAATGTTAAATGTTTAACATTAAGATATTCCATATTTTATTAAGAAAATCCAATCCATGAGACATAGGTTGAAAGGCAATAAACCGGCGGAACGTGGGATGAGGGAGAGGAGGTTGTTGCTTGGAGTCAAAATGATCGAAACTAGAAAACAATGTTACTGTGTATAGATTACGCCCCCTTGATGCATGTTCAGTGACCCCTGAACTATAGGAGTTTAACCTCTTCCTCCACAGACCAGTTATAAGGAAATCATGCCTGGTCAAAAACAGGAACCACAGAAACGAAAATATTGATAAGTATTAGTATCAAACCAGCTGCAAACTATAACAATGTTAGAACACACGTTGATCAGCATTAAGTACCCCCTCTCCACTAAATCTAGGTTGAAGAAGCGAGTCTGCTCGTTTATACCACCTCCTGGTCGTGTCAGTACACGAGGTCGTGTCTGTACACGAGGTCGTGTCTGTACACGAGGTGTACCTGCTTCAGTTTAGTGGTTAAAGTTTTTATCTGTTCTTTGTAGGATTCCTCTCTTTGATTAGCCTACAAGTAATTAGAAATTTAAAACCAAATAAAAGAGATAAAAATAATTTTTGTTCATCCCCTAGCTCTGCAGTATCTGCTAAACTCTGAGGGATGAAGTTTATCGTGTGAGCAATATCCATGAGTCATCTTAAGAACCTGATTTTCAAGCTAACACAGGGCTTCAGGCGTTCAAACCAAACTATTCTCTTGTTTACATTTCAGGCTTTTTACACCCTTGCACATTCCTCAATCCGACCCTATAGAGGGGGATCAAGATTAGAAAGATCTCAAAGACTCAAAACATATCCTGAAAGTTAAACCGATTTTATTTCAACTGATACCACGGGATCGACGTGTGACATTTTTGTTAAAATCTCCAACTGTTGAGTTCATGGGGGGGGGGGGAGGATACAATGGGTTGGACCACCCAGGTTTACAGGTTGTAAGAACCTGCATCATGAATAATCACATAGGAAGATGTATCTATGCTTCACAAGATCACAGGACGGATAAATAGATAGATATATAGATACAATATTTCAACAAGATGGAATGATAACAACTCAACTACTTTTAATTTATTCCCAAAATGGAATCAAAAGAGAAGCTTGAAATAAATTTAAATATTTATTAAAAATCAATAATTTCGATTCACAACGGAACTCTTAATAGTTTTGTCTTTAAGATAGATATCAATGTTTATAATTTGGAAACCTGGTTATCATAATTAAGGATTCTTGACACAAGTGACTTACGCATTTCTACTGCAGGAGAATACATAGTAATTAAACAATATCTTCACATTTCTGACAACATAAAGGATTCAAGGGTACCGTTGTGAATCAGATATGGACAAGCAGAGTCACTGGAAATTACGCTTACAGAACCTTTAGATTAAAACCAATAGTCGAAATTTAAGAATTTTATTCCTAAAACTTTACAAAATATTGTGTTTACCTTTTCCTCTGAGACCTCAAGGGATTTAAGATTGTTACCGACAACCCTCAATTCCTCCTCCAGCTCGACAATCTTGCTCTCTCCGGTCTCAGCCCTCTCCTCGGCTCTCTCAAGGTCAGCCTCAACCATAGCCAGCTTGCGGGCAACCTAGGCAGGGAGTACAGGTCAACCTGGATACAGCTGACATAACGGGTAACAATATTCATGCAGGAGAGAAGGGGGACGTTATTACATGAGAGAAAATTATAATTTTAATTNTTACACGTTACAAGTAGCCAGTATATACAGTAAACACATAGTTTTAACTTTAATCTAAATTTCCAAGATAAAATATTAAAGATTGATTTATGCTCAACTTGACCTTTTATGATGTTGCAGTGTAAACTGTAACCTGTTCTAACTGTAGGTGTAAACTATATACAATTACAAACTGATAAAACGCAAAAAGAAATGCAGCAGCATGCACAATCTAGATCTACTCTACCAATACTATTTATATACAATAGGCAGGGTATTTAAAATTCATTTTACTAACAAGAAAATAATAAGTAAGATACGGATTTACGAATGTTAAAAACCCTTTCGATAAAAGATATTTAGGTAAGAAGGGGACGGACGAATTCTAACTTCTCTTCTCGTATTTCTAGTTTAGCACAGGTTGCACTCTGATATTAAAACTAGGGTTGTATCTAGGTTCAGGTTTCAAGTTTCAGCATCCTAGTTCTCCAGACAATACCTGGAGCAAATCTGTTTCAAAACTAACCAGGAAAAGTTTGAAAAATTTAAGCTTATTCATAAAATTCATTTGAACACAAAAAATGGTAGTTTTAAAACTCAAACGTCTACAATAGTTTGTTAATTGGCAAACACCTCGCGTTACAAAAATATGATAAACATACAACATAAAACCGGTTATATTTATGTACAAACACCACCTAGTTGGTTAAATTGACTATTCACACATTGGGCTCGAAACAAGGGAGTCACACAAACAGCCTCGCCCGCAAACCTCGTCATATTTTCTGTCAGCCTCTTCAGCAAGGAATCTGGCCTCCTTCAGCTGGTTCTCCAGAGCCTCCATTCTCTCCTCATCTGATAGTGATCTGTTCTCCAGAACCTTCCTCATACTAAACATAGACCCGGAGATAACAAACCATCCTGATATTGTTAAACCAGGATCAAAACCAGGTTCACCCCCATCTTCTCCTTAAACCCGGAGAAGGTGATATCCTTCTCAAGGCAAACTCTTTGCAAGTGGATATTTTCAGCTTACTACGGAGTAGGTTCAATCTTCGAAATGTAACCCACTGAAGATACAAATTGTTCATTCGACCCAGATTATTTTTCGTGTTCCACAGGATCCTTTTTCGCTTAGATCCGTCCGTGGACTAGTTTACTTCATGAAGAATATTTAGTGCTTCTGATAAGCTTTAGTATCTATAACTATGATAACATCCTCTTGGGAATCCATCCTAGTCTTACACCCCAGCCTAGACCCAATTGACGAGTTTAAGTATTGTTGGTCTATTCTCCGCCAGACTCAACAAGGTACCTGGAGATTAAGTCAGACCATACTTAGCACACTTGACACAATGATCAGATATGAAACCCTATATTAGGAGCAGACAATTTAGTTGGTTCAAGTAGCCTCGTCAAGCACATATATTCATCTTCTTAATCAAACATTGGCATTTCAAGGGGAAGAGGAGGGGGGAGGGGTGACGTGCATTACTTATGTTTATGTATATACCAGCAGTAATTACTACAGCAATTAGTAAGGTTGAGAATAATTATGTCTAGTATGGGCGGGGCTCCAAGGATACGCCTTTATTAACATTCTTCAGGGACACTCTGATAACACATGATTCGTTTAATTCTAGCATCATAAGATAGAAAGAGGATTCGATTAAGAGAAAGACCTAATATTTTTAACTCCGATAAAGAGAGAGAGAGAGAGAGAGAGAGAGAGAGAATTAATAATGCTTAACTCTGATAAAGAGAGAGAGAATTAAAAATGCTCAACTCTGATAAAGAGAGAGAATCAATAATGCTCAACTCTGATTTAGAGAGAGAGTATTAATAATGCTCAATTCTGATAAAGAGAGAGAGAATTAATATTCTCGACTCCAATGAAGAGAGAGAAGAAATTAATATTCTTGACTCTGATAAAGGGCGGGTTCCAAACTGTTATTTCATGATAAAATATAATAAAATGAATCTTGTAATGTTAAACGACTCACCCTTATAATCATTAAATTTTAATCTAGCAGAACATGGTATTTAAATTTACACTTTTTTAACAAAACGGAAGGGCGGACTCAACTCCTATAAAATAAATGAATGTTTGATGATACAAAAACTGATTTTCTGCAGGACACTTTACCCCCCCCCCCCAACCCAACCCTCTCCCTACTCGACAAATTGAACCAACAGTTTGGTTTTTTACTCCTGGGCCTGTCCGACTTTAGGGTATTAAAATGGCAAGCAGTTTTTAGAGGCGCCAAGGATTTGTTGCAGGCGCCATCCTGGCGCCAAACAATTTAATCCGAACAAAAGAAAGACCGATAAGTGTTTTTATGAACGATCCCCCCATCAACCCATTTCCTCCAGGTAGTCCCGTCCCGTCGCATTCTTCAATCAAAGCAATATTGAATATTCCAACATATCATGATACTGTATTAAAAATGTATCTGATACATCTAGAAAGATAATTACTTCTTCTAACCAGTCAATGACCAAAAACTAAAATAACAGTCAAAATGTTCATTCATATGACTGAACTCGAAAGCTCCATGTGTTGGATGGTTTGAAAATGGGCTTACTCTAAACATAGACATGATCATAATGATTTTTCTAAAAGAATAAATCATACTATTATAGGAAATAAAGCATGCATTTCTTGTACTCTATTACTTTACCCCAAAGTACATCTTAGAATCTTTATAACGTAACTTCAGATCATGGGACTTTAATAGTAACAGTAAAGCTCAATGGACAAAAAGTGCCAACATAGGCTAGGTGCAAAAAATGTTAAAGAAATGTAACTAACCATACAATTTTGTTTAAATGTGACTAACCATCTAGCAAATAAGAAGTGTAACTAAACATACAACAGAAAAGTGTGAATAACAGCTGCTTGTAACTAACCATAGAACAGATATGTGTAACTAACCATAGAACAGATATGTGTAACTAACCATAAAATTAAGTGATAAGTTAGTCTTACCACTGCAAAGTTAGTCTTTTGAAGTAAACCGTAGAAAAGTGTGTAGTGCAGCTAATAACAAAATATCAGAATTTCAAGAACAATGGAATTAAAGGATAATTGAAACAAATCTTCGCTGATTTTGGATAAAATGTAAATGTATAAAGAGGAGGGAAGGGGGGGCAGTCCCTTGAATAATGTTTATTTTTAGGTCAGGTATAATTGGGAATCTTTTTGTTCACATAACACCTTAAAGAGACCATAAAGATTTTGAAAAACTATCCTAAAAAATTTGCCTTTACTGGTTGAGGTGCATTTAAACGTAGACAGCTTTAAGCAAAGACGAAACGAAGGTACAAAGACGACCGAAAAACGGACGAGCATGAAAGACGAAAAGGCCCCATCAGTATTACAGAGCATGCAAGACCCTCCACCGGCCTCCGATGGCCTCTAATCTACCTCCTCGTATTTCTTGTCGGCCTCCTCCGCGATGAGTTTTGCCTGGGCAAGTTGAGCTTCAAGGATTGCAACTCTATCATCCTCCATGTTGGATTTATTCTCTAAAGCTTTACGAATCCTAATATTAGATTTAAATATATGATTGGTCAACAGACAATTAATCTTCTCTCTGAAAATCAAAATTAAAAATAAACAATCAATATTTCTGTTGAGATGATCATGATAGCCGAGTTAAGAGATTTTAATTAAAAATAGTGGTGAATGATTGAATACAAATTTTAGGTAAATAAAAAATGACGAAAGGAGAGTCCTTGCTTTTATGTTGTTGAAATAAGATTGTCATTTTAGGAAAAAAAATATAAAAAAAGTAAAAAATTTAAAAAATTAAGTTTCTAGATTTCGCAGATTTATCCAAAAATTGGATGAATAACTGACCGTTCGGATTCATCAGCGGCATGAGAAGCTTCAGCAAGTTTCTGTGTAGCAGTAGCGAGACGCTCCTCACTCCTCTCAAGGTCCTCTTCAAGCAGCTGAATTCTCCTGTTCAAAGCAGCTACTTCTCCCTCAGCCTGGAGTAAACAAAACCAAGATTAGTTACGGAGATTTCAACGATTCCTTAAAAAATCGTTTTTTTTTTTGTTGCAAATTATTGGCTGTAAAAGAACTAAACAACTAAACCAAACTCACGATAACGCAATCCTATATCTTCACAACTTGATGGTGTAAACCTTTAAAAATTTTATCTGTCTAAATTCTTAATTTAAAATATTAAAATTCTAAGGTCTACGACATAGAGGGAATTAGGTGCAAGTGTAAATTTCAACAATTTTAGTTGATAAAGAACATAGATTAGAACTAACAAATAAAATATGTAGAAAAATATTCTCGAATTGATGCTATAAGCACACAAGTGTAAAATAGAAAATATGTTAATTTTTTGTCAGTCACACACTGCACAGAAAACAGTTTGATTAATCAGCAACGTAATGAAATCTAAACTAAAATGTCAAAAATGTGATTAATTAAACAAATATTTTTCGCGGATTTTAACAATTTTTTATTATGTAATAAATCTCTGGAATAGTTAAAACCTAAGTTCAATATAAGCTGAACTGCAAAAATGTAAAAATATATTTAAAATTTGATTAGATCCACACATGCACTGTATCAGAAATATAAAATGGTGAAATGATAAATCAACTAAAAATGTGAAATAATTATAGTTTTTCTGCCATTTCTATATTTTTTGAGAAAAAAAGTTGTTTACTGTTCAAACGTAAAAAAATTTGATATCCTGTAGATTAATTATGATAAAAAATTAACAAACTAAATTTCTGAAAAAAAGAAGGAAGCGGATAAAAACAATAAAAAAATGTTCTCAAGGGCGGCATAGGATATTTTTCACGGGGGGGG